ATTATAAGGCTAGTAAATGACGAATTTCCCTTGTTTATTGGAGTCACACTCCTTCCCTTTATCTACTCCTGATACATATATAATGCACGCACGCAAACACGCACACATGCGTGCACACATTCTCGTGCGCTCGTGCATGCGCAGACGCACACACATACAAATACATGCACACACACACACATATATATACATACTAATATGTATGACATTGTGAAAATATGTAGATGTGTCACTCTTTTTATATTGTTGTATTTTAGCATATGTGTGGGAGGAACTGTTTGACCCACTGCACGTGTTACTGCGAGCAGTACATCGACGAGACTTCCAAGTGTCCATGAACAGATATAATCAGTAGTAGGTATCTAGAGTAGCATACACATTGAAATAGCAGATGTGGAATTAGATTTATTTGAATCTAGATTGGTGATCACTTGGTATTACAATTGCATGTTTCACTGAGCGTAGGAGTTTGTTCTCAATTGTCAGTTTTATCACAAGAATACGTAACATAAGTATTCATAAACCAGACAACTGTATAAAATTGTATTGACTGAAATTATATATTTTTTCTGACCTCGAGCAGGAAAACCAAGAGTTGAGGGTTATTTCGTATTTTTAAAAGTGCACAATGCCCATTGTTCATCTCCCCTATCATGCAGGATGTACACTTTACTTGTGATATGTTGATATTTGAGAATGGTGCATTATTTAGAAGTAAGAAATATACAATTCTGTGTTTTGTAGTTTGCAACAAGAAGGGAAGTTTAGTGGTACACACACGGCTTGGCCTCCTTTTCGCTTGCCTGGCGCCAGACTGCCAACGTACTGGAGACTGCCGAACTTGCTGCATTGCAAGACCATGCATGCATTGATCTTCACCATCCTATATAAGGTGATGTTATACACTGGCTATAAGACATTGAGCACGTATTGTACTGTACATGTGTGTATGTATTTTAATTACTATATACACTGTTTATTGCAAGTACAGTGTGCTACAGTGCATTAGATTATTATTTATATTCATATAATGGTGAGAGGTATAACCAAGTAATCAATCTGCATTATATTATATCATTATGTAATTATTCTATGGTTATATTTATATCATTTTGCATCATATTTCAAATGGAATCCTTTCATGTATGATTTTTCATTTAAGTTTCAAACATCCTCCCAATAAAACATAACATAACATTTTTGTTTTATATCTATTCTACTTTAATGTTATAAAATCCATTGTATGTGTACAGGCAGTGCATGAGCCAAATGTTTCTGAGCCAATCATCTACCTTTGCATCTTCCTGCTGGAGATGGCAGTGAAAACCACCTGTATTGTAGTACAGGAACAGGTAAGTGTGTTCAATTGAAAGTTCCGTTGCAGGTGGGCCTGGGATCACATAGTACATAACATTAGTTTATGGAGTGAATAAGATCTAGAGGTTTGTGGTAGGAGAAGAATAAATATCAGATAAGAGGCTTGATGACTTCTAGTCTTCACACTTCTAGTCACAATCTTTATGTGAATATACATTTTCTATTTATAACGAATTAGGCGTTGCTACCGGTGATGAGAGTAGGTAACAGTAGTAGTTTAATTACTTCAATTTTATTTGTAATTTTGCAGATCACTGTTGCCCATAAGGTCCCAGATCTGAGATATGATGCTTGGTTTCCTAGCAACAGTATCTTCACCAACATCCAGCACACAATACGTGGTGTTTCCACGCATAAAGAAATCAGTGAGTTTGATAGAGAGATTGCCATTCTGGATAAGATTGAACGAAGCGCACAGCAGTTTCTGGCCGCACACGGTGTCAAGGGTACTGAAATCAGCCCATATGCATATGGCAATCTTTTTAAATAGAAGTTTAGTGTCTCTGTAGTTGGTTGCTACCTAGAGCTCAAGGCTCCAACTCCTAAACTAATACAACAGGATTGCTTAATAGAATGTGTGCGTCCATACAATTGAGCTGTCATATTTGTATAGATAAAGTGATATAACATACTTAACCATAATATGTCTGAAATTCTAATATTTAGTCTACCAAGGGTGTATTTTTATTCAGTAACACAAAGCCCTTTGTGATAAATGTCACAATACATGGTGACTGAGATTGGTTTTGTGCCATTCTGTATTTATCCATTGTGTATTTTTATTCAGTAACACAAAACCCTTTGTGATAAATGTCACAATAGCATTGTGAATAAGATTCGTTTTGTGCCATTCATATAAGGATATAATTTATTTATAATTTATAACTTTGCTCATAGAATTTTTCATCATTCATAATATATCAGTATTGGGAATATTATGGTATGTTTCTAACCTGATACTGCTTGTAATAGTCTGAGCAGGGATTTCTTATTAGTTTCATCTGTTTGACATTAGAAGGTTTTCTTTTATTTTAGTTTGAATGAACAAAATTAACAGCTTTCGTTGATTACAATTGTTATGATAGTGTTTGAGTATTGCTATATGTTGTAGTCATCACTGTGTTTAGTTCATTTTCGCATGTTTTTTGTTGTGTTGGCAATTGTACCAGTAATTGAGTGGCATTTTGGGTCAGTAAAGGTGATTAACCGTAACATAGTAAGTGTATAGGTTATTTTATGTAAATCTAGGTAGTTTTTTAATGTGGTAATAAAATTGATTATACATTTAGCATTTGTCATCCAATATTGGAGGTCATATAGCTAAATCTACATTTAAATAAATATTACTACTTTATGGATAATCAGGTTTTAGAAGTACTTTATATTGTAATTTTTATACATTATACTTGTGTTTGCATGTGTATGTGTGTTAGTGTGTGTATATGTTGTGTTGACACTTGGTCTATAATACAGTTTTCACTTTCAGATTATGATGTTGCAAGTGCAATGCCACCCAGTGCTGCAGATGATGACAGTGATAACTCCTTGGAGGAAGTGTGTGGTTCCCCTAATCTGAGGCCAGACGGTCCTCTCGCAGGACCATCTGTTCCCATGGAGATGGACCATCTTAGGTCTTCGACGCCACCAGTAGAAGAGACTGTAGAGGTGAATGAAAGCATCCTGTCACTGCTAATCAAGCTGCATTCGAAGTTGTCAGAGAAGAAGTGCTCCTATGTCCCTCGGAGTCAGCAGCATGCAAAGAGCAGCATGGGTGGGACAGAGGAGAGCAGGATTGGCGACGGGCCACATTTCGTTGGCCAGCTTCTCAATAAGAGTGAGTAACACCATGATGATACTGCGCTGATACGGCCATGCAAATGGCTGCAAAAATAGAGTATTGTACTTCACGTTACCGTGTCACACGCCATGAATCATGAAACAATTGTTGCTGTTGAAATCGACGTTGCCTACTGAGCACACAATATATTGCAGTGATCTAAAAAAAAAAACAATGTTACAGTGCACATTGCATACATTTTAAATTTGTAACTCACGGTTTTACGAGAAGAATGACGTCAATAAGATAACACAGAAGTTCTTCCACATTTCTAGCTAATTTCCACAAATAATCAGAGTACTGATGTATTACTACTATGTCAGTATACCGATAAAAAATCGAATAAATTGATATAGCTCTGTGCTGGCAACCATCGTACTGAATCACCTGCTGTGTTTGTTTCAGTCATCATATTGCAATATATTGGAAATATTTCTACCTAATTTTGACAAATAATTATAAAAATGACACGATATTAATCATCAAGTTTTGCTGGGTTTCTGAGAGTAAAGTTAGCGCCAAATTCGCATTGTATCAGCAGTCACACATAAATTTTGCTTTTAGTGAGTTTTCAAGTTAATGATTCATGCAATTATTGCATGGTTGTTTGGGGAACATGCAGTATTCCTGACCTCAAAAATCAATTTATTTCTTGAGCTCCACTCCCAGGCAATATTGATTATCTCCGGCCACAAAACTCCATGCTTTCCTCGGCTATGCAGTGATTGTATAATGTACGCGTGCATGCGTGCGTGTATGCGTATGGATGCAGGTTAATGATCAATACTTGGTTATATTACCCCAGAAAAGAGTTTGAGTTGTGAGGAGTAACTAACACAAGACTTCAACTTTATAATAGTTGCAGCCCTCAGCATGACGTGTGCCAAGTCTATAGAAGACATTTGTGAACAGATGAAGCCTAAGACAGCAGCAGGTAGCATGAGTGACATGGACAAGGAGGAAAGGTATGAATTCACAGTCTTGAATGAGAAAATTTGGCTCATTTGTTATGTAAGCTTGTATATACTTACTCTTTTGTAGTATATAAAAGTGTTCAAATCTAAGTCAGAATATTGTATATAAAAGAAGCATTCGTCTAAACACTATTACTTTCACCATATATTGGCAAGTTTATGCAGTATCCAAAATTGCAAAGATCTGAGTCAGACTATGGTGTATAAAAGAATCGTCAAAAATGGTAACAAGCAGAGTGTTTTAGAATTTTTTCTTACTGGTGATATTCGCGAGTAGACATTTGTTTTTTTTCTCAAATAATAACTAGAAAGAAGAAAGTTCGTGAAAGGCAAAAGAAGCTCATGGAAGAATTTGCTGGCAAACAAAAGAAGTTCCTAGAGCAGACAATGGAATATGAAGGTAAACCATCATCTTTTCAAAATATAAACCTGTAGATCAGATCAATCTATCAATCAAATCTATTGATCAAAATACTTGATTTTGTCAGAAGTCACCACTTTTATAATGAAATTCACTGACTTTTATAATAAAATATATTCTATCATAAAAACGGCTGAGTTGCAGTGAGTTGATTTAATCATATCTTGATTTTCTTCAAAAAGTGGTATGCTCTTAGAAAAGTTATTGAATTTTATTACAAAAATAGTGAGTTCTTACCCAAGGGTTTAGTTCATATTTGGCAAATTTTGTGAACAGTATGTGTCCTTACATTCATCTGTAGAAGCTACTGAAGCCTCAAAAGAGAATGAACAGATGGAGGGTCAAGCAGATGAGGAGGAAGGAGGTGTGCAAGAATACGACTGTGTTATCTGTGGGCAAACTACTGCTTCTACAGAGGAAAGGCCCGTCGGCATGGTTACACTACTGCAGGCCACTAGTGGTAGGTACGCTGTTGATACAGTAGTTATAATGTGCCAGTTCTATCACCTTCCACAATTGGAGTAATTTTACGCAGTCATTGCAACCAGTTGCTTGTGTTGAATTTTTAAGTGCTGGGACACAGAACACACTGTATCACTGGCGATGGGAGGACGTTACCACTGGATGAGAAGCCTTGTTTCTTCCACAACAACGATTGTGGAACAGCCATGGATATACGACTAGCCTCTCTGCAGCGACACTTTGATGATGTAAGACTAGTGTGAATGGTCTTTTCATTAGTTGAATACAAACTTAGGGTTATGCAACCACTAGTATCCAACACATTCTCTGCTAAACTCACCTGTGGTTATGTGTTTTTGCGACAACATTTCTATGTTACATGATTTCTGGTGTATGAATTTCTCTATAGATTATTGGCTGCTACTATTCCACTACTTGTACTCGTATAAAAATTTACGGGTACTATGAAATTGTCTACGAATACTATGTATCCCCTCTGCCTGTCTCCACTGACAGTATTATGGATTTGATGTGCATTTAAATTGTCAGATATCATGAGCAGGTGCAAGAAATGTTTCACTCTTCATGTGGTTATCTAAGTTTGGCTGATTTACAACGAACACTTATTAAACTAAACTGTATTGTTTGTCATGATTTTTAGCTCATCTGACATAGTCAGATGCAGCTTGTAGAATCGCACAATCGTCCGTCCGTCCGTCAACAGTTGGGCACAAATCTTAACCGCTCGACGTACGGTCACGATATTCGGCACATCGGGGGGGATCGTCAAAACGAGTTGGGATGTCGAAACTGGGGGTCAAAGGTCAAAGGTCAAGAGGTGTAAAAGAAGGGGGAACATTCACTCCTTAACTTAAGGTATAGGGAGGAAATGCAGAATTGCGGCACAAATCTAAACGGCTCGACCTAGGCTCGTGATAGTCAGTGTATAGCATCATGGTAGGAAAAGCCATCACTGTGCCGAAATTGGAGGTCACAGGTCAAAGGTCAATGGGCACAGGGCAGATTTTAGACATTTTCTGAGGACATGGTCTGACGGAGCGATTGAAAAACTTTTTTGTTTCAGTGGTGACCTAGCATTTTTATGGCTTTATTGAAAGGACCATGAAATGTCCCTTCTGCTGACATGCGAAGAGTAAGTGTCGGATAACCTTTTGACCCTCAAGAGGAGGGTTAAACATGGATTTGTTTACTGTCTGTTAGAAAGAATTTGACTGCCGGGTTTGCTAGTAGAATCTATACATGCCTGGATGTACGAGGCTACAATGTCACAGTGAAATTTCAAAAGCTAAATTTGGTTGAAGAAGGTTTATGCTCCTTAAATCCTATAATTTCTATGGCATTCTGTACTGTCAGTATTTTACATGTAACGTATGCCACTGCCAGTGGCCACTGCCAGTGCATGTGGTGGTGGCTGTGTAGTTTTTGCCTGCGTTAATTAGTTACAGGTGGCAGCTCTCTATTGCAGCCTGTAGGCTTGCGTAGGTAAATGGATGAGTGCTTACCTATTCTGTCTTGCAAATAGTTGTTGCTACTACATACGATGGGAGCTTCCATCTTTAATCTGAATACACTTAAACGTACGCGCCATCTCGTGGCAACTTTCATAACGATCCCAACAAACATTCCTTTGAGAAGGTTCCTGATACCATCCCTGTGCATTCCACTGTTTCGGCATGTATGTGAACACATTTGGGAGTAACAGGGTTTACTAGAATCCCACCACTCCACCACAGAGTCACCGCAGTAGACGTTAGATGAGCGCTGTCGCTCCGCGGCACTTGTTTTATTACTTGTTCTGGTGATATATCATTGCTAGGGATTGTGTATTTTATATGTATGCGACGATTATTAAAATGGTTGCGAGCCTTCGTGCGCTACCATGCAGCCACAACTTGTGTTCCTTTACAATATAAATCCTTAACAGAAGGAATAATAAGAACAAGAAGTTCACCCCAAAAGTGCACTTCCTTTTGCATGTAATGAAGTGTGATTCTTCATTTAACGATGCGCTATTTCGTCCGTATTACAGAAATCCTGTTTGTTGTCAATGAACATCGGTTGGGAGGGAGGCGTGTTTGTGCAGACCTGTGGCCATCACCTACATCTCGACTGCCTGTGCTCTTACATCGAGTCACTGAAGGTATACGCCACATGCTTGTCACATTAACGTGTTGCAACGACCCATTCTGTGGCAACAACCACCTCCTCCTTTAATGACTGCCCAGTAGTGTTCTCACTAGAAATCAACATGTGCCTGATTAGTGTATTGTCTGACATATTACGGTAAAATTTCGAACTTCTGTTATTTGACATTCCGTTTAATCCAACTTGGTCCATCTATGTGCGCTATATGTGTACTGTACAGTGCTTAACCTGTCACAATTCTTCTTTTCTACATTATCTGATATTGTCAATTATCTGACCACCTATAGGTCTCAATTAGGTTGGATAATCAAGGCTGAGCAGTGTATACGAGATATTCTGTAAAATCTTTGGCATGTGGGGTATGATATCTCACACTTCACATCAATACATGTCTCTCTACATCAGCCATTAAAATGTGTTATTCTGAAATTGTGTTGTCAACAGCAACCTATTAACCGATCAGCTAGCTCACTGATGACGCATGCCAAACATCTCTGTCAATGATACTGTGATGCAAGCTTTTTTGTGTGTCAGTGCTATAACCAGATAATTATATTTTAAGAGTTACATATGAGAACAAAAAATGTTACTGCTGCTTATGCAAGACCGTCATATCTCACCTTACCCTGCTCCCGTGATGATCGAATTTCTGTCACTCGTGAAACAATCTAGTCTTAGGACATGTAATGTTAGAACCTAAAGTCAAACTAAAACCACAAGTCTGTTGTTTGCCGTATAGAACGAGCATGTTCACGAGGCACATCGATCGTTTGAGCCAGATAAGGGAGAGTACCTCTGCCCGCTGTGTCGGCAGCTGGCCAACGGCGTGCTACCTTGCCGGCCTCTGCCGCGGGAAGAGAATTTCTCTGTTGTGCCAGGATACACGGACATGCACAAACTTGCCAAGGACGTAATGGACTTACTGCAGAGAGACAACCAGCAGCCTGTAAGTACTGATTTGTTCCTGTCCTGCAATGACTAGCTGAAGTGTAGAGATAGTCATGTACTGAGCAGTGATTTGTCCCTCTCTTGCAATGTCTAGCAAGAGGGGTATAGATAGTTATGTAGTTACTGTAGTCTGTCCCTGTCCTGCAATGTCTAGCTCTAGGGTATAGATAGTTATGTAGTACCAGTAGTCTGTCCCTGTCCTGCTATGTCTAGCTCTAGGGCACAGATAGTTGTGCAGTACCAGTAGTCTGTCCCTGTCCTGCTATGTCTAGCTCTAGGGCACGGATAGTTGTGCAGTACCAGTAGTCTGTCCCCATCCAGAGTTTGAATTTCACCACTGCACTGATGACCAGCATGTTGCCTAAAAATATTTGGCCAGTATATGCGACAGTAAATTGTTATGGCACCGCTACCTGGTTTGCCTGCGTGCCCTTTCCATTAAATCCATGCTGTGTGTGTATAGCCTTCCCTTTCTTGCATAATAAGTATTGATACAAATTAAACTGTCATGATGTTCCTCCTGTGAAAGAAATGTTTGCCCCTTTCAACTTGCCACGGTGCCTTAAACTTACTGAGTAACCCTAAAACAACATTTGCCTGGCCAAAACGAACTTGACTCGTGATGTTTACCTGTAGAGAATGGGGCCTTTTGTTTGATAACAGGCAACACAATTGTTCATCTTCCACAGGGTAAATTATTATGTTACTTGAAATAAATGGACGTGCAAGCAAGAGGTGAGAGCAAAAGTAAAATGAAGTTTTTTTTACGTGTGCATGGTACATCTTCTGTTTTCTGTTGTTTTCTGTTTATTATTTGCATCAATTGTTGGTTTATTTGTAATGTTTACAGAACCCATCTTCTGAACTGTACAAATCCATGACAACGATGATGCAGGATCTCACCAATGCCACGTATCCCAAGTATAGAAACTACAGCAAAGTACCGTGCAATGAGAGCATCTTCCTGTTTCTGTCATCTATTGCAAGGTAAGCAGATGATGCTGCATCTTTGATGTGGTTTATGGTGGTACAGTTTGACTTCTTAAATCGTTAAATTGACTACGTCACGAATTTTCCATGGTAAAATTTGTAAAAAAAAAATGTCATTTTTTTACATTAAGAGTAAGAACTAACGTTACTAAATATATCCTCAAACTCTCACCTGATAAAAATGTTTTTACGTTGGTTAAATTTGCAAAAATCTAGACGATTTGGTAATTTCTGTTGTCTAACACTATTCCCCACCAGTACTGTTCAGATACTGGCGTCTCTCTGTTTTTCACTGGCAAATTAGGGCATATAAAGAAGGTATATAAGCATGAAAAGTAAACAGAAACACTAATTGTATTTTCATACATTTTATTTTGTACAAATAACACACAAATATACTACTTGATGGGGCTAGAAATTCGTGACGTAATCACTTAGTAGTAGGTTTACTTAGTATTATTTCTATTTCCATTCACTTTCAGAACAAATCTAGAGCTGGAGCTTTTGCAGAAAGGTGGTTCCATGTGTAATAGAAACCTTGCTCTTCCTCCACTCTCTGCCCCTACAAGGAAAATGTGCACAGGTACATAAAAGGATCTTCGTTTTAACATTGTCATGTGAGGTTGCAAGAGTTTGTCCAGAGCTAATGTTGTAGGTACTACTAAGATATGTACAGCACGTGATTTACACGAGAATGTAGATTTACACGAGCCTGTAAACAGTGTTATAACGTGTCCCATGTGAGCGCGAGCGTTCATGTTAGTTATGTAGTATATTATTATGTTTATGTATATCAGTGCTGCCACTTCATACTTTTTTTAAAGAAAATGTATTTTTTACAAATTTTTCATACTTTTTTTCATGCATAAATACTTTTAAATACTTTTTTTGCTAAAGATGGTAAAAACTCTTTGGACCTACATTTAGGTACACTGTATTTAATGAGATTAAACATGTGCTTTGCTAGTCTTGTTGCAGGAGTGATGTTCAGTGGAGTGTTTTTGCTCTCAGCTCTGTGCTGTCAGTGACCAAATGTCAAATGAGCAATGCGCATTGCAGTGTTTCCCCTGCATTGACACGAGCGAGGCGGCCTGCCTCGGCGTCTGAGTCTGCAAATTCTCACCCGCCACACAGAAATTTGTCCAAAACACTGCCTCGCTGGCGAAAATTTTGACAACTTGAAAAAGAGATTCAAGAGTCACATACAGTGTGTTCAGAATAGCCTAGAATGCACCAAATTGCCCCATTTATAAAAAAAAATGCGGGGGAGAATGCCCCCGGACCCCCCTAGCTGGGCCAACACCTGCGCTGCTCACCTTGCTAGTACCTCGAAATGCTCAAACACATCACAAAAAACATTTACCACCTCACAGACCTCTTTGGCCAGGGGAAACACTGCATTGAAATATTCTAGACGGAGGGTTCAAGAAACAACTCCTCACGGCATTATACACATTCCTCCTGAAGCTTGTTTACATGCTGCACATAGGCTATAATGTATTCGGTAACAAGGTATAAATTAATAAGTGACTACAAATCATGGTAGGTTGATACACATTTATACTTTTTTTTAGACAATTTTGATACTTTTTTTCTGGGCACATTTTATACTTTACACTTTATAGTTTCCAAATTATAGGGTGTTGACGATGACGTGATGCTAGTTTTTCTATAAACCCGAACCCATTCTATCCATAGGTGCTCTGATGCGGGTCCTTGGGCTTCATGCAAAAGTCATGCAACCTAATCACTTTATCTTACTCTGGTCGTCTGTGACACGCATCCCCGCCTCTGAGGATATCACCAGGTTCGTGTAATTTTTTGCTCATTAATACTTCTCCCCACATTGTGTGTTTAGAAATTACAGAAATTATATGATAATATTAGTTGTACATGATACGAAATATGAATGTCTGACTGAGTGCAGCAGTACTTCCAATAGCGGTAGGTTCTTTTTCTCAGTCGTATAATTCCATTGTGTTGCGTGTATTTGCAGCGTTGCACTGGCAGAGCAGCCCCTGCCACTGCTATTGCAGGATCCAACCACGTTGCTCATTCACCTAGTGCTCATGCTACCTCTGGGAATAAACAAAGGTAGTGCCCGAATAGAGCCTAAATGTGTGTAGAGATCATTAACTGGGCACCTGCGGAATCTGTATGAATTACAAATGAAGCCATTTACTGCGAAAGGCTAATTAAAAAGCCCAAGAAATGCCAAGAATGCAATAGTATATAGCCATATGAGCATTTGTTATTATAATTTTAAGAAAAGGTGACATACTAATAGCTATTGGTTGTGTCCTGGTTGTATGGTGATTTTTCAAAATACAAGTTGGAGGTTTTGGCCATAGCTGTACATTGGTTGTGGAATCATTGTCTTGTTTGATATTTCCAGCTTACTACACGTGCATAGTACGTTCGCTGTACAATGTGCAGGTTGTGCAGGCTCTAGCCATTCTCAGTTGTGACCTCACAGATAGTGAGCGTGAGGCATGGAGGCAAAAGACAAGCAGTCATGTATGTAATAGATGCATTATCTAGATGGATATATATGTATATATGCGTGTGCATACTTTTTGAATATCATTACAATACGTGCACTGGCAGAGGTGTTACAGCAGTAGTTAGTAAGCAATAGGTATACTAATAAGATCAATGGAGTGTAGGGCTGTAGACTATGAAAGAGTATGGAATAAAAGTGTAGTCGCGGGGTCTTTTTAGTCTTTTAGTGTACTTCAGTTTAAGTTAGTAATTTCCTAGTGTTTTCTGGATGGCTAGCTGCGTGGGCTGTGAGCCTAATTATTACTATTATTATTTTGTTTAGTAATCTAGTGATGGTACACTGGTAAACGGTAGAATATGACCCTGCAAACTCCTCGCCATCAGTACAAGGTCACTGATGATGACTTGGTTGATCGAAGATTCTTTCTTTCAGAATCCAGTGGAGCAAGCACTAGGGGAGGTGATCTCTCATCTCATCTACAGCTGTCTCTATGAGGCATCAGATGAGACTGTAGAGACAAGCGTCACTCTCACACATGCCATCTGGACAGAACAATCAGTCGAAAGCTCAACTCGTGTGATGATCTTGCCATATCTACGTACAGCGGCCATGTTGCTCTGCCATCTCTATGGAGATGAACTCCCAGGTGTCAAGGTCAGTGCCTATTCTAGTAATCCTGAGATCACTCAAGGGTCAATGTCTTCTTGAAGTTGAATAATATTTTAAAAATACCTTGTTCCATTACTAGCATTTTGCCATAAAATGTTAACAATTTTTTAGCTCATCTGACATAGTCAGATGCAGCTTGTAGAATCGCATGAGCGTGCCTCCGTGCGTCCGGCCGTGCATCCGTGCGTCAACATTGGGCACAAATCTTAAACGCTTGACGTACGGTCACAATATTCGGGACGTGGGGGGGTAATCCGAAAACGAGTTGGGATGTCGAAGCTGGGGGTCAAAGGTCAAAGGTCAGAGACGTGTAAGAGCAGGGGACATTCCCTCTTAATAAAGTATAGGGGAGGGAAATGCAGAATCACAAATCTAAACGGCTCGACCTAGGCTCGTGATAGTCGGTGTATAGCATCATGGTAGGAAAAGCCATCACGGTGCCGAAATTGGAGGTCACAGGTCAAAGGTCAATGGGGCACAGGGCAGATTTTAGACATTTTTTGAGGACATGGTCTGACGGAGCGATTGAAAACCTTTTTTGTTTCAGCGGTGACCTAGCATTTTTATGGCTTTATTGAAAGGACCATGATATGTACTTTCTGCTGACATGCAAAGAGTAAGTGTCGGATAACCTTTTGACCCTCAAGAGGAGGGTTAAACATGGATTTGTTTACTGTTAGAAAGAATTTGACTGCCGGGTTTGCTTGCAGAATCTATACATGCCTAGATGTATGAGGCTACAATGTCACAGTGAAATTTCAAAAGCTAAATTTGGTTGAAGAAGGTTTATGCTCCTTAAATCGTATAATTTCTATGGCATTCTGTACTGTCAGTGTGTTACATGTAACTTATGCCATTGCCAGTGGCCACTGCCAGTGCATGTGGTGGTGATAGTACGGTGTAGTTTTTGCCTGCGTCAATTAGTTACAGGTGGCAGCTCTCTATTTCGGCCTGTAGGCTTGCCTAGGTAAATGGATGCGTGCTTACCTATTCTGTCTTGCAAGTAGTTGTTGCTATACTACGTACGATGGGAGCTTTCATCTTTAATCTTAAGACACTCAAACGTACGTGCCATCTCGTGGCAACTTTCTTAACGATCCCAACGAACATTTCTTCGAGAATGTTCCTGATACCATCCCAGTGTTCGAAATAAGGGCTATCCGTTTGTCCGTACTTGTCCATTTCCACGGAGGACAAGTAGATCTGTCCGGTAGCTTGTCCGCCGGACAAGCAGCTTTTTAGAGCGATTTTTCATAATTTTCTACCATCGCTGGCCGCTGCTGGGAAACCCGAGTTAACATAGTATAAACATGGGCTGCCGTAGTGCCACCCGAATTAACATATAGTATAAACATTTATGTGAAGTTATATAAAAACGTTACCGCCTTGCTAGCTTCACGAAACGGTCTTGCTAGGGTTAGAAGACCATCAGACAATCAGTCTGATAGACAATCAGTCGCACAGCCTCGTCCGGCAGCGCTACCGCCTCGAGAAAGAGAAAAATCGAGAGAGAGGGAGAGAGAGGGCGAGGGGAAGCGAGTGAGAAAGAGAGAGCGAGAGAGAGAGAGAGAGAGAGAGAGAGAGAGAGAGAGAGAGAGAGAGATCCATCAGTTCTCAGTTGATATTAATTAGTGTAAGTTAGTGTATGTAGGTACTAAAATGTTTTTATTGATATTTTTAAGTTAGTGTTAGTGCCATAGTACGTACTGTGGTGCTTATCACACTTAGTTAGTGTTAATTCCATAGCAGTTCTACAAAACTTGTCATTCTTATTTCAATATTTTGTGTTAGTTCCATATTATGCTTGCCATTCTTAGTTGATAATGGAGTTAGTGTTAGTTAGTGTTAGTTGCACCATAAGTACTATAATGCTTGCCGTTCTTACTTAGTGTTAGTTAGTGTTAGTTCCTTCATATTAAAGTACTATAACGCTTGCCATTCTTAGATGGTAATAGTGAGTGTTAGTTCCTTCATAAGTGATATAATGCTTGCCATTCTTAGTTAGTGTTAGTTAGTGTTAGTTCCTTCACATTAAAGTACTATAACGCTTGCCATTCTTAGATGGTAATAGTTAGTGTTAGTTCCACCATAAGTACTATAACGCTTGCCATTCTTAGATGGTAATAGTGAGTGTTAGTTCCTTCATAA